AAATAGCATACACTGGTACATGTAATTTTAAATTGCAAAATACAAGTTGGAGGTAGCAAGCATACTAAAACTATTCGAATGTTCAAAAATGATTTACACCAACTTGGTTTGGTTATGTTACTTGCTTCAACATGTGGTTTGCACATAAGTACAAAAAGAAAATAAAATCCTAGTTGACTATATTTATGTGCAAGATCTGTTTCTAACCAAATTCTGATAATGTCTGATGAAAAGTTGAATCTTTACAGCATGAACCACATCTAACCAAAGCAAAAATCATGATAGTGTTGGAGGAAATACTCCTACAAGATTCTTCTAGTGAGCTAAATAGTTGATTTAAACCAAGCAATCAATCAATAAAAAAAATAAAATAAAAAAAGTACAAAATTAAGAAAGGGCATAATATTCCATCTTGACCAGATTTCTTTGAACAAATAAAACACTGTTCAATAATAAATTAATGTTGAAAAGAGAAAAAATTTATCTTTTAGTTCTTAACATGCATTTTTGGCCAACCCAATACTTTGATAGAAAATTTGAAAAACTGACCAGTCATCATGTAATCAAAAGTGAGCTCTTCTCCTCGGGCAATGTCTCTTTTGGCAAATAAAGCTATCCTGGGTAGACGAGGATCCAAGGTGTTGATCCACACACCAAATACTTCCAAATTTGGATCACACTAGTTTAAAAAAAAAAAAAAAAAAAAAGAGATCAGTTTATACTAAGTACCTCCAATGATTCACTAAAAAAAATCAGTATAGCATAATGATAAAAGGTCCAAAACTTAATAAAAACAAAGTTTCATCATTACAATGTTTATGTAATTAAAGTATTTTTAAAAATTTTTTTCCTTCTTTCTAACACGTTCTAAATTTGGGTAAAAAATCTCATTTTTTTTGTTACTTCCATAAGACTAGTGGTCATCGCTTTTTTTTTTAGTGTAGCTATTTTGGTGGAAACCCATTAATTTGGAAATTCTTGCAAAAATCAAATAATTGCCTAATTTAAATGAAACTTTCAGGACTTATTCAAAAATGAATAAATTTATTTTTGAAATTTTTATTTTTAGAAAATCTTGGTAAAAATATTTTTTTTTTTTGTATATGTTATCCCCCATAAATTATTTAAGAAATTTTCTAGAATTTCAAAGAGTTCACAAATTGTTTTATATTACTTATAAGAAGGACTCCTTGGAGTAATTAAATAATCAATTTTTTTTTTCACAACTACTGCCAACTTTTTAAAAATCTGCTCCAAATCGTAAAATAAAAACTGCAATAAACTATCTAATTATCAAATTAGATAGGCTTTTATCTGCTTTTATAAATTAAGGACATTATCTAAAGAAAAAATTTTTTTTTTCTTCGATGAACGAAGAACTTTTTTTTTTTTTTTTACAAGGATTGTTTGCATTTTTCTTTTAATTTTAAAAAATGTTTTAAAATTCTTTCATGCAGAGTGTGGGGTTGGTTATCAAGTTTTTAAGTGAAGACTATATTTACTAAGAGAAAATTAAAAGCTAAATACAAATAATGCTGCCAAAACTTTTTACCATAATTAAAAAGATTTTTCTTGTGCATCAAATTGTTATATTTTTTTTTAGTATGATATCTCATAAGTGACATTATGGTTAAAAGGTCATGTGTTTCAAAGCTTGTCTCCTCCTTGGGCAAAGCCCCTTGACATGTAAAGGTCGTATCTCACTCTCAGTTATTAAATTAAAAATTAAATTGAGATAATAAAATTATCTCATTTATCAATTTAAACAATTAATAACTTAGTGAGATATTTTAATTATTAATATAATAAATCTTATTACTTATTATCTCAGTTATTAAGTTAAAAATGTAATAACTTATTTATCATTATCTTAGCTATTAAATAATGAAAGAGATAGAGGTAACTCAATAATGTAAGAAATTTTTATAGTAAAAAAAAAAAAAAAAAAAAAAAGTTATGTCACTTTGGATGCAACATACTAAACCTGTCAACACATCCAGCCATCAAATTATTGAGGGAGCCATGAAAATAACAAGACCCCGAGGTCAAGAAATGTTTGCCAAGAAAATTTTATGCTATAAGCAAGTGATTTTTGTTTCAGAACAGATTAATTTAACTTTAAATTTACATTTAAACCTTAGGTATACCGAATTTTTGGAGGTACCTAGTTTAGGCACACACACACACGTGTGTGTGTGTGTGTATCTCCACGAGATCGCTAAAAAAAAACAAAAAAAAAACAAAAAGAGCATACCATGACAAAAAAGACGCCAAACTTGACGAAAACAAAATTTTATCGTCTTAATGTTTATGTTATTAAGAGGAAAGAACAAAATATTTTTGGGGTATTTTTTTTTTTTTTTTTTTTTTAAAATCGTTCCTAGCACGTCCAAAATTTCCGCTAAAAAAAATTTTTTTTTTTTTTTGAGTCAGCAAAATTGACCATTTTTTTCTATTTTATAAAAAAACTGGAAATCTCACTTTGAAATTCTTCTAAATATCAATTATCATTTTTTCAAAATTTATTTTAAGAAAATCAGAAATTATGTTTATTTTAAATATTTTGAACCAAGCTTAACTTAGTTTCTGCGATGAAAAGATGTAATTTGAAAATAAAACAAAGCAGGTCATAAACTTTCGCGTCACTTGACAGGTGATGAATGACATATTGATGGATTCCGTGAGGATAATTTGTTCCATGGAAATAGAAAAGTGAAATAATTTACATTTAAGTGAACAAATTATTTACCTCGTTATTTTTAAGGAAAACTTTCAGCGCTCTAATTTTTAATTTTTTTTTTTTTTTGTACTTTGCTTTCACCTTTACATTGCTTTATGGAAAATATATTATAAAGAAATTAAAATAATACTTAAGAGTAAGATTAAATTCCTTTACCCTAACTAAACTATATAATTTTTTAAAATCTCTGTGCATTAAAAAAAAAAAAGCAAGCAAACACATTTTGGTATTTTAATATTAATTGTAATAATTCTATAAAAATAAACATTTTATGTTTTTTTTCCAGACATGAAAAAAAAAAAAAAAAAAAAAAAAAAAAAAAAAAGAGCGAGAACAGTTTTTGTTTTATAGCCTGGTTATCAAGTCAGTGATGATAGAGTGTGTGTTTGTATCTCTCTGAATTTTTAGTTTAATTTATTGTAAGTTTTTGATCAACACTGCTGACTGAGGACATATTTCCTCAACACCCTACCCGAGTCACATTCCTCACCCCAACCCTCCAGTTGACAAATTAAGGCTGCCATTTACTTTGGTTTTCAGAATTTAAGTGGGGCTAAATTTAATTTGCCCTTTCTCAAAAGATACATTCCACTGAAAAACCTTATAATGTAATGTATGGAATAAATTATTTAAAATGGACATTTGAAAACAATAAGTTGAAATAAAAATGTGTTCTTTGAAAAACAGGGCATACAAGTCATTAGAGATTTTTAAAAGATTATTTATAAAATTAAAGCAAGAAATACATTGCCTATTATGTATGTCTTCTGCTTCAATCTATGCAGTCGGACTAGCCACGTTAATTTCATTTCATTTTTTTTTTTTTTTTTTTTACTTTCTTTATTATGAACAATATCAACAACATACATTTAGGATAATATTTTGAGGCACAGAGTTAAAACAATTATTTTTGGAACCCGCTGAAGTCAAGAATGAAAACACTTTACAAAAGATTTTTGTTGGTTCGAAATAGATATAGCTGATTATGGCCAACCCAATACATTGATAGAAAGTTTGCAAGTTTGACCACTCATCATATAACCACATGCATTTTGTCCAACCCAATATATTAAAAAAAAAAAAAAAAAAAAAAAAATGCTCAAGAAGATCCCGCAGAGTTTGAAGAATGTTTCTTTTACTGACATTCAGGGATAGGGGCTCTTGACAAACAAGACACAAATAGGGAAATTTAGCATTTCCAAAAGGATACAGATTTGAAAGAATTTAAAAAAATAAAAACACTTTCAAAATATTTAAGTTTAATCCGCAATATTTCAACTGTTCACTTTCATAAAACATTTGATTCTGTCTTTAACACAGAAGACATAACAAATATACTCTATGGAATCAATATTCAAATGTGGATATACATAAATATAAATTTTATATCAATATAATCATGCTTACAAACAGACCAGTGCCTATTACTGAAACCAAATGAAGCTGTTCATTGATTGTTATGTCCAGCTTTTTATTGCATATATATCAAATCCATGAAGAATAAGTGTACTCACAGAATGGTTAACAAAATGCGAGACATTTCCATAATAACCAGCATCAACAGTAAATGGACAGTCACCATCATTGTAATCTAAATCAAACAGGTAAGTTCTACCTTCAGCATCATAGCGTTTACCCCTTCTCTCAGCTTCTTCATTTGTGATCACCTGAAATACAAATAGATATAATAAAAATGTTGCTGCTGCCAAAATTGTTCTGATTCCATTAGTTAAGTCTTAAGATGCAATGTTCACATGCACAAAACCAAATAGCTGAAGCAAAGAAAAGAAATACAGGAAAAATTCCACAGCCAATCAACATTTATTCTAAATACACCATAAATGTTGGGATACGTATGAAAAAACAAAAACAACAAGAGACAAGCAATGTTTAAAATAGGTAAATTTCATCATGAAACATTACCTTCAACATCCCAACTCCAGAGTTTCCTAGACGGACTTGCCCATCCACTCATCAGGGGGTATCAGCAATTATACAGTGCGCATGTGTAGAGGATGAGAAAGAAAAGCTAAAAAGGGAGAGTATATAGCGTTTCTCATAGTTTCCACACAGTAATTAATTAAACAACCAGATGAGTAGCTGCGTTTATCAACGCCCACCATCCACCCAAAACACCCTGTATCACAAATTAAGTGTTAATATTTTGAGTAAATGCTCGTCTTAAAAATTGTGTACCTCAAAAATCTCAAACTATTCAGGTATTTTTGTTTCAGATTTTGGTGATTCTTATTAAGGAAACCTTTTCTTAGTAGATTTCAATGATAAATTCAACAAGAATTCAAGTTGTATAACAGAAGTTTAGGTTTTTAAGGTGGGCTATATATATATATATATATATATATTTAAATCTTTAGCTACTACACCTCTTTTAATATAAAAATGAACTAATATTTTGTGATAAATTCAAAGCAGCAAGCAGAATCCAACAAACAGACAAGAACATTTTTAGCAGCTACAATAAAAAGTGCCTAGATCTTTAACAGATTAAGTCATGGGCCTAGATTTGAGTTTCTACAGTTGCAAAAAACTATTCAAAAGACAAACTGAAGAAAAAAAATACTATCCCCAAAGCAAATATATATATATATATATATATATATATATGAGAGAGAGATAAGTCAGAAATTTTAAATCGCTGGAAAGAGCATTTCGAAACTGTGTTAAAGACCACTTCGGTTACTGATGAGGAAGCCATCACATCAATTGAGCAAAATCCTGAAATTCTGGAGTTGTTTTTTGAACCTACTTATCAAGAGGTAATTGACTCCATCAAGCAAATCTCATCTGGAAAAATCACCTACTCCTAAGGATCCTATTCCACCCGAAGTGTATAAGCATGGTGGCCAAAAGTTGGTAAAAAAAAGTTACATCTCCTTTTTGTGGTGATATGGAAGGCAGGCTGTGTCCCACAGGATTATAAAGACGCCTCTATAAAACACCTCTACAAAAACAAGGGTTCCAGGTGTGTCTGTGATAGTCATCGGGGGATATCACTACTTTCAATTGCAGGCAAAATCCTAGCGAGACTGATTCTAAACAGAATCATTATACACCTTGTTGACAACATCTATCCTGAATCGCAGTGTGGTTTTCGGTTGGGTCGGGGCACTATTGACATGATATTTTCTCTTCGTGAAGTTGCAGAGAAGGTTCGCGAGAAAAACCAGGAGTTATACATGGTGTTTGTGGACTTGACGAAGGCCTTTGACACTGAACCGAGAGGCTCTTTGGCAAGTCTTTAGGAAACTCGGCATCCCTGAAAATATGCTAACAGTCATTATCTCCTTTCATGAAGGAATGAAAGCTAATATTGTGTCTGATGGTATGATGTCGGAATCCTTTAATGTCACAAATGACACCAAGCAAGGTTGTGTCGTGGCCCCTGTCCTTTTTGCCCTTTTCTTCTCGGTGATGCTGAAATATGCATTTGCAGACACAGAGAGTGGCGTCAAGTTTCAGTTTCGAACAACTGGTGGTCTTTTCAATCATCAGTGCTTCAAAGCCAAGACCCAACTTTGTATGCATATTATTCGTGATTTGTTGTTTGCTGATGATGCAGCTCTTGTAGCGACATCCTTTGAGGAGGCCCAACATTTAATAAGTCATTTCTCTGCTGCATGTAAAGCGTTTGATCTTACACTTAGCATAAAGAAAACTGAAGTTGTGCACCAACCTTGTCCTACTCCGAAGCAATTGTGTGGTGAGAAATAAAAACCACCAGTCTACAAATTTCCAGAGAGACCATTGAAAGTAGAAGACAAACCCCTGAACTATGTAGTCTTTCACTTATCTTGGTAGCAAAGTCAATTACAGTGGAACTTTAGATGATGAAATCATTCATCGGATTGCTAAGGCTACCAATGCTTTCGGCAAACTTTGCCATTGCTTGTGGAATGAACGGGGTTTTCAACTGGATACGAAAATTCGGGTTTACAGTGCTGTTGTACTTGCCATCCTTTTGTATGGCTCAGTCGTGGACTCCATACAGGTACCATATATACGCCAGCTAGATGTTTTCCATAAAAGCTGTCTGTGTGCAATCTGTGGAGTTCAAAATAGGACATCTAACGTAGAGCTGTTTAACAGGTGTAATATTGGAGGAATTGAGACTTATCATACAGTCACAGTTACGGTGGACTAGTCATGTCTTGAGAATGTCTGATGACAGGATACCCAAGATCCTAATGTACAGCCAGTTAGATCATGGCTACAGGAATGTAGGACGCCCATGGCAAGATACAAAGACAAGCTGAAAAGCAACTTGTCAGCAGTCAATATACCACATAACACCCTTGAGTGCTTAGCTTTGGAGCGGGAAGAATGGAGATCAACATGTTTTAGTGGACTGTAATTTTTAATCTGCTTGTCTGAATCATCTTCAAGAAGCGAGAGCAAGATCTAAAAGGTCAGTCAATCTAACAATGATTTCATCTCACAATCCTCACACTTGCTTTGTATTTGGCCTCCTTTGTAAATCACTAGGGGGTCTTAAATGCTACTTAAGATTATCGCACAAACTTCCATAACTGAATCAATAATATATATAATACAAAATAAAATTTGTCATTAATGACACACACACACACGTCCCCTAAATGCTTTAAAATTTAAAACAAAGAAATTAGAAACCAACAGCAAACTAAAAACAGTCGTAATACTAACTCTTACACAAATGACAATCAGATTTAGGTGCAAATAAACTAGATGGTGATTAATTATTGTTAGAACAAAAACCAATGAGAATGTCAATTAGAGAGTGTTCAGTTTATTATTATGGGTTTCTCTCCTCAGCTGTGCCTCTGTAATTTGGATCAATAACTTCATCCTCTTCTGAATTGCTGTTCTCTTCTGAAGACAGCAGCGCTCTTTTTGGAGAAGTGAGTACAGGAAGCTCAGGGCAACATGGCACTGGGGTGAGGGAGGACAGAAAGTCTGAATATAGGCTAGCAGAAACATTCTTGCCAGCTCAACATTTGGTAGAGCCCATCATGCAGAGGAAGCAATTTCTTGAGTGGTCAGTTGGTTTCCTCCAAATTCATGGGATTGTAAATTTCATTGCTATATTTTCTTCCTCTGTCAAAGTTACAAAAGCAAAGTTTGAAGGGAATAATACTAATTTCTTTTACTTTCTAAAAAGAAGCAATTAGGAAATAACTCACTGACCAAAGAAAGAAAAAAAATTGTTAGTGTTATTTTTGACTAGTAATTATACTTCTTAACCCTTTGAACTTGGGCAGTCAGTAAATTGATTGCTGCGTGAAAGTGTGTCAGCCTGTTATGTGCATTTTGTTTATCAACACTATGATGTCCCCTCCCACACACACAATTAAGAAGCAAATACACCCTCTGCTCCACACCCAGATTGAGCCAAAAGTACTACAGGATTTAGCCAAATTGAAAATCCAAAATGTAGAAATGAATAATGAAGCCATTTAGGTCCTAGAAACTAGTTACAGTTAAGCAAATGAAGACCTTTTTAGGTTTGGGAAACATGGAAATATTATTGCTAGAACACTGCTGAAAATTAAAAGATAAGTTTATCATCATCTACATACCAGGTTTTTGTTCTATTGATAGTCAATATGTAAATGAAAATGGTTTTACCAACCAGATAGATAAAAATATACAAAACGTGTTCAAGCATTATTACATTAGATGAACCCTGACCAAAAATAAGCTTTCCTTCAAATAATATATCAAGAACACACCAATAAAGGTAGGTATAACAAGCTCTCTCATTTGTGATAAGGGTAACATTTACATATGCATAACAGATGATGCAAATACCCTTTCAGGGAATCATGGGTAGTTTGATTATTTGACTTTCTAATTTTAAGTTTTCTAAACAGAAAACTTTATTGTATACTAATGGAAACTATGACATTAGAAGGTGTTGTACTGCAATGATGAATGACAGAAATTGTTAGTACTATGTACATTACTGCTTCAGTGGAGTAAGTTCTGAGATATGAAGCCAGTTAATTGCCCCAAAGCAGTCAAAGCATATATGGATGGCATGGACAAAAATGATCAGATGACAAAATTCCAGCAATATAAGCATCACAAGTGGCCCAAACACTTGTTGATAAAAGATACTTAGTAGTTAGTGATGTCTAATTGCACATGATAAGGACTTATCTAAAGAGAAAAAAAATACTTAGAAATGCTCAATTTTGCAGGTATGACTCGCCAAAAAGTATAATATTGGCATTAAAAATTTACATTTAAAATGTAAATGCTTTTGTGTTACATTATGATATTGACAGCAGAGTGGAGACAACTGTAATTTTCAGGAAATCAAAGTTAAAAACAGAAACTATATAACAATTTTATTGATGAGAAAAGGGAGGAGGCGAGAAGAGAAAAAAAAAATTTCAAAATCAGCATCATTTTATAGCAAACAAGGCATTTTCATGGTAAGAACAAAAAAAAAAAAAGGTATTTACTCACCTCTCCCACATACTCCATGACAAAAGATCCTCGTTTAATATTTTGAAGAGTCTTTACTCCCCATCCACGGCCATTAGATGTTCGAAAGACAGAAACCTTAAACTTGCGCCCTTGTTGTACAACACGGTTTGGGCATTCTGGCCCACATTTGCATCGTTTGTTACATTCATAAATGGGGACCCCACGAGATACTCTCAAGCGCTTGCCACGGTAAAAAGCAAATTCTGTGCCACAGTTTGCAGGACAACATGATTTGCGCTCACTATAACAGTCAGTGCATTCACAACCCACAAGGGGGTCCTGAGGAATCTCAATCCCATCCATAGCTTTATAGTCATTGATATATACAAAGTTTTCAGGAGGACCTTCCAGGTCAACAGTGTTCTCCACACATATGGGAGCAGGATCAGCACAGACAGCATTCAGCTTATCCTGCCACTCTTTGAGAGCTACCTGCACAAGGTGCTTTGTCTGTTTGTAACATTTACTCTTTGTGTTGTTGTAATTGTTGGGACGGATGCGTCGTGGTTTACGGTCTTTGCATGTCATTAGACCCTTGATGATCTTGTTTGTGCCGCCATGCTTGACTGTTGACAGGGACATGATCTGCATTGGCGTGATCTTTTCATGGACAGGCGATTTGAACAGCTTGTCAAAAAGCTCCTCTACCCTCTTGCGTTTGCTCGTCACCTCTTCCTCACTGTCCATGGTCAATCGCTTGGACGACTTCTGACTTCGCTTTCTGTGATACGCTGTGATCAATTCATGACACTCAAGATTGTCTTCCGGTTCCCAAGTGTTAAATTCATTGCTCCAACCTTTCCACTTTATGTAGTAATAAGTAACATTCTGAAACGACACATAATATAAAAGTAGGATTTGGAGCTAAAATCAGAATTGCAAAAGCTTTCTAGAATTTAATAAAGTTGCATGTGTAAACTTTGGAAAATTAATAGATAACCCAGCAGCACTAATTACTAAAAACATGCATAAAACAATATCAAAACAGAAAACAGTATAAAACATTGCATTGCAACATTTTCTTAAAGGAATCCTCAAAGTGATTCATATTCTATATAGAATCAATCAAACAATAGCTTGTATTTGTTTCAAACTTCCAAAGTAAATTTAATTGGCCAAAAGGATTTTTTTTTAAAGTATGATTAAGGCATCTTCAAATTTAATACAATTCAACTGTTTCTGCAATAATTTTTATTTGCAAGGCTAGGTTCTTGCAGGTATTTAAAAAAAAAAAAACAAAAAAAAAAAGAAAACTAGTTTTTTAATTATTAATACATAATCCCAAATGCAACAGCCATTTCAGTTTTAAAATACATCAAATTCATAACATATTGAACTCAAAATATATTGTTCAGTAAAATTCTCTCAGTTTAGGAAAAGAATTTAAAGTGAAGAAATTGAAATACACTAAGTGTAAATAAAATTGCAAAAACCTGTTCGTTTTGACCCTGGTACAGAACATGTATACTGGAGGTAAATATTCTGATTAAAATTTTAAAGTGTTTCATCATATATATATCTTATACAGACATACACAAAAGTTAGGGGATAGATGCCTAGTACCATGTAGGACACCTCACCTCTAGCTTGATAAATTGCAGCTTCTTTCATTTTCAGTATTTTCAGAGTTGGTGTTCTAAACATTAGAGTAACTTCTGAGGAGGCTATCTTATCTGCAAGTGTGTAATATCAGGGATATTGTACTGTCATTTTGTGAATGGGATCTGGATAGTGCAATAGTCTCCAGTGGGGCCATACCATTTCATGATGAAGGATACAATTGAAACTGTACTTCTGGAAAATACAATCCGGGCTGGTGCATATACTACAGTGGGTGTGACCGTTTCACTGACACGTCTTCACCTGTACCAATATCTAATTATAACAAAATCAAAAGCAGACCCAAAATTCACCATCTCCTATACCGATAGGAGGGATCTATGTTCCAACTTTCCAGAGGTGGAACTCCATCTTCTGGAAGTCAAACCATACCTCTTTTTCCTGTCTGAAACTGGCTATTCCAATTCAGGAACTCACAATCCCAGACTAATCACCCCCTAATAGGGGAACATTACCCTTGAAAATTGCTACAACCATAGACTCAGCACTTGTATTAAGAGCAGGTTCCTATGTGACAAAATCCTGAAGTGGGACCCTGATTTCCTGTTAATTTTCTTCTGTTTGACCCTTGTTCACTGTACCACTTTCATCTTCACTATCATCCACAAGATAACATAACAGCAAAATAACTGAGAAGATTGATGATACCCTCTGAACATTCATAATGTGTGTGTATTTTAATATTCACCACAAAGAGTGGTTAGTTTACTCAAACAAAAAACTTAGTTCCATCAACTCTAACTCTCACAGCTAAAACCCGTCATGTTGCTTACACCGAAGTAAACCACCCTCATTCCTTTTTTATGATCATAGTTCTTATGTGAATATTAATCAGCATTCAAAAAGCTTTCTAAAGATATACAACTTGACCATATTAGGAGATATGAAAATGTTAGTATATACAAATACCAAAATTCTGCCGTTTTAAATTTGGCCCATCTTGGTCAAAAGTCCACCACAAAATTTTGTACATATCTTGCAATAAAGTAGACAAAAAGATGCGTTTCTTGAGAAGCTTAAAGTCAAGGTCAAATTCTTATTTGACCCTTAAACAAAAAAATAAATAGATCATCTTTTAGATCTATCCAAGTACTTTAAAATGGTATATAATTTAGCTTTGCGTGTGGAAAAAAAACTAAAAAACAACTGAGATATTGATATTTAAACTTTGTGACTATTTTCCAAAATTCACCTTTTTGGCAAGGTCATATTGGTACCATTCTGTTTCTAACATGAAGCTCTATAAGTGTAACAAATTTGAAAATCTGTTGGTGATGATTATTCCCTTGTTAATTTGACACAGAATGACTCAACTGAAGATATTAGCAATAAGTGTGAAGTTTGTAAGAGATTCAAGAAGACTCATGCACAACCAATGGTATCTCTTCCATTGGCTAGGCAATTTAACAATGAAGTGGCAATTGATCTAAAGCAATATAAAGATGTTTACTTTTTACATTTTATTGATCTCTTCACTAGATTCAGTAAAAGTAAAGTGAATGGAAGAAAAAACCCCTAAAGAGATTATAAATAATCTTGCAATTGAGTGGATAGCTGCTGGTTTTGGACATCCAAAGAAATTTCTAGTTGACAATGGTGGGAAATTTGTCAATACCGAATAGTTAGCTGGCTGAACAATTTAATATAGAAATTTGTGTTACGACTGCATACTCACCATGGTCAAGTGGCATATGTGAGAGAAACCAATATGTCATGTGTGTATAGAAAATGGAGGAGGAAAATCCCAAAATGGAAATAAATGTTTCTCTTGCCTGGACAGTCAATACAAAAAAAAATGTATGCAAAACCAACTTGGATATAGTCCAACAGGACCTCCCCTTAATTTACCATCAATTATAGAGAATCAGCCTGGTTGGTGTAGTAATTTATTGTATCCTACAGCTGTATCACTTATTTCTGCCTTAGAAAAGGCAGAAATAAGTTATACAGTTATTAAACATCTCAATGCATTACATGCAGCAAGAAAAGCTTACACAAAAGCAGAATCATCAGACAGAATCAAAACATTGATGGCAGGAAATTGTGTATTTTACAAGAGAGATGACAACAACAGATGGCATGGTCCAGGTAAAGTTATTGGCCAGGATGGGAAAGTTGTTTTCATCAGGCATGGAAAGTCAGTCCAACTTGCAATATGCAGGGTGATTAAGGCAAATGGGACAGAATTAAGGACTGACAAGAAAGAAGTTGATGGTGAAGATAAAGATATCAACCAAAAGAACTGTAGAAGATCAGGACAATGGAGCTAATAAGTTTGGAAGAATATATACCAAAGCTATGTGGCAAAAGGATAATCAGAGACAGGAAAAGCAAGTTTGAAAACCACAAATGTCCCAAATACAAAATTAATGTGAAAACATCAGGAGATCACAGAAAATTCCTAAAGTTGATGAAATCAAATACTGCTTACCAGAAAGTGAGGAGTGGACTCCTGCTAAAATGATAAATAGGAGGAAAATCTACAGGAAGAATGAATGAAGTAGATAAAGAAATGTTGGGAGTACATTTGAATAAATTGGTATATGAAATAGTGAAAAATGATAAAGAAATTGATAACAATAGAAAAGCTGGGCCTACATGTGTGTGTGAGAGAGTGATCAGGGTGAAGCAAAGACAACTTTTGTACCAATTGGCTGTCACTGGAAGCCTTTAGTCATCAAGGAGCAGGAGCTCATTGGAGTGTTTTTTGATGTCTACAAAGATATAGGACAGGGGCCACCTATAGAAATAAAAGATGGTGTAATATGGAAATTAAACAAAGCAGAATATGGCCTTGATACTTCTCAAAATTGGCACTACAATGGAAAAGATGATCTTAGCAGTTTGAGAACAATGAGAAATTATAAGAAATATTGTGATGCCCGTGGAGAATTTATTATTTGCTGGAACTAATGATTTTAACAATAGTGTCATTGATCAGATGTATAAAGTTGGAATGTGGTTTGAATGTTTTGCAAAATAAAATCAATGCCATTCAAGTAAACCAAAATGAGTATGCAGCAGAAATGAAGGAAATTTCAATTACTGCAAATAGGAAAAAAAAAAAAAAAAAAAAAAAAAAGGGACATCCCCACTGAACAGAAATGAAAGAACAGCTGAACAGCTAAATTGGTTAGTGAGAAAAACTTGGTAGGCTCTTACTAGCAGTAAGTTTATCTCCCCCAGCTCTTAATGGACTCAACCTATCAGCTTCATAAACTGTGCCCATATCTCCTTGAGGCAGAAACTACCACATGCCTGGAGGATTGAACCATGGGTTATTAAACAAGTTCCACTCAAATTACTTCCCAAGAATTGCTACTTTATGGAACCAACTACCAAGAGGTTGCTTTCCTAATCACTACAATCTTAACCTGTTCAATCTTCTTCAGCAACCTTGAGTGGCTCTTGGGCTTTGTATAGGGTAATCATTAAAAGAAGAAAAAAAAATAAATGAGGGGAGGGAACCCTGGTGAACCTCTTGCTCCCATATCCCACAGAAACTAATGTATGCTTAATTAACCTGCTGGATATACATTTGGTACCTCCTGCACTGAATGTTAGTGTAATCTGTTACTGTAGACAATGATCATGTCCATAGGCATCTGGCAAGAATTAAGAATCCAGAGTTGGCCACTGTGCTGTACAACACCATCTTCTGTCATGTTCTGCCTGTGTATACAAGCAATGGCCACTTGGTATGTGCAAAAAGTGTAAATATGAAGGGTATTCACCTACAATATCATGCTGTAGGATACAATAAATTACTACACCAACTTTTCTTTTGTATCAGTGGAGAGAACATTAGTGTCATGTATCAGATCATCTCATAAATTCTGTCTGAATTTTGAATAAAGAAAACAAGTGACCAAATGTTACATTTAATTACAGATTCAATCAACAATGTATTTTCCCTGATTATCTATGACTTCCTTCCATCTATTAACAAGCTTACTAATTTCATTACTGTAAAATTCTTTCGGCTTTGATTCAAAGAACTCACAAATGTCAGTTTTAACCTCTTCCTGTGTTACAAAAGCTGTTTCTTCCAAATGATTCTGTAAGCTACGAAACAAATGGTAGTCTGAAGGAGCAAGATCGGGAGAATAAGGTGGATGAGGCATTTTCTCCCAACCAAGTTCTTCAATCTTTTGTGACGTGATTCTTGCTGTGTGGGGTCGCGCATTGTCCTGATGAAACATCACCTCTTTTTGATTCACTAGAGCAGGTCTTTTTTTTCTCAAAGCTTGGTTCAAATGCTCTAATTGCTGACAGTATATTTGAGCATTAATTGTTGCATTAGGTGGTAAGAATTCAAAGTGAATTATTCCTTGGCAATCCCACCTGATTGAAAGAAGAACCTTTTGCCCATGATGTTCTCGGCTGTGGCTGGGGTCCTTCCCCTTTACCAAGCCACTGTCTACGACGCTTTCGTTAAAAGATCCATTTTTCGTCGCCAGTCACAAGTCTATGCAAAAATGGTGAAACAAGTTGGCAAGAATGGAGAGAAGAGCAGATGTCAACTCAGGATTTGAGGTTGTTTTCAGACAATTCATGAGGCACCCATTTTCCAAGTTTAGGAACTTTTCCAAGTTGTTGAAGATGACGATGAACAGTTGTACAGTTTGAACTGAGAACCACTGCCAATTGCTCAACTGATAAAGCAGGATTTTCTTCAAGGGCTGCTTCAAGAAGCTTTTCATCAAGCTCAACTGGATGTCTGGTTCGATCTTCATCTTCAAGAGTGAAATCACCACCTCTGAATTTTGCAAGCCATCTTCTGCAAGTGCTTTCATTCACACATTCCTCTCCATAAACTGAGTGAATGTTTCTAGCCGCTTCGGCTGCTGAGTTTCCTTTCTTGAACTCATAAAGCATTATGTGCCTCAAATGATTCTTGGGTACTTCCATGTTAGCAGGGCTTTAATCAAACAAAATTTAATTTCATTGTTCTCTGTAATAAAATTTGATCAGTCTAAATGCATCTAAACATAAAAATAATGTTCAGCTCCATTAGACATTATAAAATACTCTTTAAATTTCATTCATTTTAACAAAGTTAAAATTTGGACAGAACTTATGGGATGACCTGATACATCTGGAATATTGTTCTGATGTCATTCCTACAACAAAAAAGCTATGAGAGGTTTCAGAAGGATTATACATGCCATCAAAATGCCAGTACTATTCAATGAACATCTATGATTGAACTAGTTCAAGTGTTGCTGCATTGCATCAGTAGATACAATGGACATGAAGTAATTGTAGGATAGTACAATTGTATGCATATTAGAATACAGATTCAAGGTGGATATAAATTATATTAATGATCATTTACCAAAGACCAACTAGAATACCTGTATATTTAATCCTGAGTAAACTGGAACATATTCATGGTATTGCAATTTTATTTTCCGCCAGTGTATCATTATAAAAACGGCCGTGGTAAGTGAAGAACAGACAAGTAATACTTACTTTAAGTGAAAAAAAAAAAAAAAAATCTTACTTCCTTGCTACCTCTCTCTTAATTGAGGCCAGAAAATAAAAACAATTTGAGGAGTTTGTATAGGAAACAATTTTGAATTTTTTTAAATGAATGAAAAATTTACTTACAGCATCTATTGTATGGTCTAAAATCGCATCCACCTCATAGTTTTCATTCTTGTCCCAAAGGACCTCTCCACTGTACATTACTGAGAGAGAGAAGAGGAAAAGAAAAATACATATACATAATAGAAGAATCATTACAAAAGTTAATTTTTAAAAATTCATTAAGACTGAAAACATTTAACTCAAGTTTACCTGAATGCAAAGCCAATTGGGCTAAGTAGGGGGATGAGGGATTCATGTGCCTTAGACAAGTCTTTCATACTCACTGTGATTGTGGAATCATGCATGGATTCCACCCATTTTTGCGTGTGCGTGTATTGCACCCCTTCCTTTGACTTTCGGCTAGACATAGCAGTAAACCAGCCTGTTTGCTGCTGACAAGGTTGCTGGCTGCTCCTGATACCGTCTAGAACGGAATTTAAAGTTTTCCCGCGCATTTCTCTGACGTCACTGACAAACTTCGTTTTTCAAGTCAGTCGCGGCCTGTTACCAGAAGGTTGACTCATTTATTCCGTGCCCCTAACCCATATGCGGGCCAAAACCAAAAACTTCAACGTCGTGTGATTACAACTTTTCTTCAAACAACTTGTTTGAACTTACCTCCGTTTTTCTACTAGAAAACGTCGAGTTTATGACACTGTTGTCATCACACTTTTCCAAGACTAATTCCTCATCTTGAAGTGAACAACATGTTTGAACCTTCCTCCATTTTCTACCAGAGAATGCAGAGACTACGACAATGTGAGCAGCACACTTTTCCAAGACTAACCCCTCATCTTGATGCGAACAACTTGTTCGAACTTTCCTCCGTTCACTACCAGGGAATGTAGAGTTTTTTTTTTCTTCACTGAAGATTGAACTTTTCATACACCTCTTTTAAACTCTAACCTTTACGAACCAGTTCTAAAAAAAGATAACATTACACACACATTATTAAACCTCGCAGTGAGTATTTTTCCTTGTTGTGTATGCTTGCACCTTTTGTACAAGAAGACAATATTCCAGAACCTTCCTTCTGAAGAAACATTTTGATTTTCGTTTTGGCGCGGAACTTTAACATTCTACTAGTCACTACATAATACAATCTGCCTACTGGCTAAGAACAGTCCTTACCTTTTCTGATAGTCTCCACTGTTGAGACAAGATTATTTGTTATTCAAATAAAGTTTTATATTTGCTTTCCACCAGACTTGTTTTGTCGTTACTCCTGGCTATCTATATTTTACTATTTTTTTTTCCTCACTAAAGATCACACATTTATTTTTTTTACTTTGTTAGTGGATTCGGTAGTCGTGAGTAGTGTCTGGCACAAGGCCACCTTTTTGTAGGCCAGCACTGCATGCTACCTGGGTCCTCTACATGATCAATATCATAATCAGACATTGGAAAAATAACTGTATTCATCAGATAAGCATTTTGATTTTTAATTGTTATCAGAATATTTTTATAGTAATTCATCATTTTCATGTGCCTGGATGGATTTCAAACTGAATTTAAATTATATAACAGTGTTTCCAGAATAAGTTCATTTAAAAAAAAAAAAATTACTGAAAGAATTGAGTGCAAGTGAGTGGATATATATGTAGGTATTACACAAACATGATAGCATGTCTTTTAGTAAAGGGAGAATAAAGTCCAGAAAAGAAAAGGTATTAAAGAGAATTTGAGAAACGAAGGCCTGCAAAATAAGGTAAGCTTTTGATAAAGTTGCAAAACATTGTCTAGAAAACCCAAGAAACATTTAAGAATTGCTTCTTTTGAAATAAACTTTGATTAAACTAATACTCAAAAACACACACAAAACCTGAAAAAAAAACAAAAAAAAAAACAAACACAAACTTCATTTTAATATTTCAGTTCTCACCATTATAAAACATTTGCCCTGAAACACACTGTTCATTTGTCACTAAATTTTTATACAATAGACTTAATTATTTGAAACAGAAAGTAAACATTTTGTTTAATCTACATAATTTTGTATTTTCAAAGTGACTGGCATTTATTTAAATGCTGTGTTTATTTCCATGGAAGAAGCTATTTCCATTTTTAGGCAAGTAATATTCTATTTTTATTTCAAATTTACTTTTGAATTTTTATTAAACTATAGTAATGTTTGCACTTGTCCTCCTCACAAGAAATTAATGTTAATTCTATGCTTATCTTTCTTTAATTTGGACTAGATTATGTCCTGACTTTCAAAAAATTGAAAAATATAAATTTACTTTTGATAATCTCCCCTTCTCTGGTAAATAATATTGATATTTTCTTCATATTTATCATATATGCTAGATCTATTTTTAAACATATATACACATTTTGAAATTTCAGGCTCCCATTGAAGAAAGGGATATTTAAAAGCTCAGAGAGAAAAACAGGACCAAAAGGCAGTTTCCAATTTGGAACTATTGACAAAGATGCTGCAAAAAAAAAAAAAAAAAAAAAAAAAAAAAAAGTAAAGCTGTAGTAGAGAGATTATACAGGCAGATTGAAAGATATCAACAAGATTCTACACATGTTGTTTCTACAGATATTTTTACACCAATGAAGAAGAAACCGATGTCAGTTTTGAGCCAGGGAGACTAAGGGAACTTATAGTCCCTAGATATGCCTTGGAACTTATTAAGGGTGATGTATCTCCCAAACCTACAAGATTGAGGCTTTCTATATCTAAGCCATAACTTTGAGGACATTATCATTGATAGGTCAAAAATATACAGGGACCACCATCGAAAGCATGTTCAGAACCATGAAAATATCTACATTGGTGTTAAATGCAGAGTTGTTAAGGACACTTTGCAATACAAAGAGATTACAAAAGGAAAACAGCGAAAAAAATTTAAGATAACCAAATGACCAGAGCACTACTTGAGTTTCACCAGAAACTTTCACATGGAAAGTAGATATCTCAACCACAGAGTTATCCCTAATATAGGTGCAACTGTTGTTGTAGCAGAGGATGTTGCAGCTGTTAGAATTCAACAGCATAAATTGCATTAAGGCAGTTCTTGTGGAAAATACCAATACAAACTGATTGTGAGGCATGGTTTGTTACATCTCTGGAGAAAAAAAAACTTAAAAGACACTATTGTCTGTTCACTTCATCAAAATGAACTTCCATTTAGAAGTGTTTTTAAGTACAATGATGGAACTACAAGAAGCCCTACTACTGGTCCCCTACAGAAATTTTATAGAAATGATTATCAGAATTTTACCCAGGTAGAATTTAACACTAACAGTGGCTCTCTGGATAACTTATATCTTACTGCAGGGTAATGGAAGATTTAAGTGGTGACCAGAGACTACTTTTAGCATATACAGCAGGAAATTTGAGAGATAAGTGAACCAGAAATTAGCTGCCTAGAAAATTAGGACTCTAAAATCAAGCAAGATGGCTAACTTTAGCTATTTGGCTAATATGTTTATGGATCAGAAGTGCCTATCCACCAGAACTGATAAATTGTACAGCCTTATAAAATTTATAATTGAAATATACACAGTTGGTCGGAAATTAAAAAGGATAATAAATTCCATAACCAACAACCGTCTCTTCAACATGATCAAGAAAATAAATCAGTCAACAGAAACACAGGATGTTGCATTAAAAATTTACAACACAAAAATATTTATTTTTGATTCAGAAGTAATGAGCCACCAGAGAAAAGTCTGAAGTAACACACTGATCAAATGTGATTAGCCTCCCATAAAATGGAGGTTGTGAACCTGTGTTTGCAAAAGGGTTTTCAATTAATGAACTGCAAGAGGTTCTAATGAATGGAAAAATGGAGTTGTTAAATTTACCTGTATATTTGCAAGATGTGGAAAGAGCAGTTAGATTAACTACTGAAACTGAAATTGTATATGGACAAAAAGCAAGGAACAAACATTACTAAATCAATGTCCCATCAAATAAAAAATTCATTTACTTCAAAGGGAAATTATATCAAACAATTTAGGTAATTATGTAATTATACAACAATTTATATCAAACAATTTAGGTAATTATGTAATTATACAACAATTTATATCAAACAATTTAGGTAATTATGTAATTATACAGCATAGTAGTTTTAGTGTGATTTTCAACAAAAAACAAAAATTTAAAACATTGTTTTATAATTTCTGCCCAGAAGTATTAGGATGATATATACACTTCTGTATTCTTTGTTTTTATTAAATATGACCTATCAAATGGTGCAAGATTTTATTCATTGATAGCCTTGTCATTTTATATTTTTTTTTATATACACAATTTTCACTTACAAAATACAGAAAAAAAAAGAAGCAAAAACATTTTGCTTGTGCTAATTCATAATTAGAATTTTGGTTTGAATATATTTTCCATTCGATATATCTAATATAAAAAATTATAATTTTATTTGGATTTATTCTTGAAATAGTAAAATTTTGAAGTCAGCCTGTAAGCAAAAAAACCTGTAGAAATTAATGTTTCTGTAGATTTTTTTCAGATCTTTAAAGTTAAATGCTCAAAAATTAGTAAAAGATGACTATTTTTTTTAGTGTCAGTACTTATCACATCAAACCCCAGCTTTTGCACCAGTCTGCCCTGAATGTTAATTTGCTATAAAGGATTCCAAAATTAGCACACTGTCAATATATTTTCACCTTAGTTATTTTCTCTTTCAATCAAAATTGCATGTAATAGGATAGACAGGAATGCCTGCTTTGTGTTTTTGGTAGAGTATAGAGTATTTTAGTTTCAGATAGCCAATAAAAGACTGATTCCATGAATAAAACCATTATTTGGCTTAAGTTTTTCGGAATTAAATGTGTTATTAAAATAAAATTATATATAAAGACAAAAGGAAAGCTTATAGAGATGCATCAGTTAAGATAAGTTTTCTTTTTGTCTTTATTCATCTAAGTTGTTTTGAGTTAGAATATTGATAAGCTTTTCTAAAGTTCATAAAAAAAATAAAAGAAAATCATATACTTTTGACTGTCAACACAATCATTATCATAAATTGCATTTAAAAAAATGCATTTGGTTAATTCTGGTTTTCCCTAGTTTGATGTAACAAATTTCAAGTCACTTAAAAGGTGACATTTACAATGGTCTAACTGA